TGTCTTTCTTAGGTGGAGGAGATGGTACTGCTGGAGTTTCTTCCTCGGGAGGAGATGGTGGGACTGAGCCATCAACACAAATAGGCTTGCAAGAACGACACTCGGTTATGCATCCATTTGGACAGAATTTGGGACAGACATGAGGAAGATTTTTACATTGCTTAATCTCATCATCTGAGCAATGAGAATGGCTTGGATGATCAGCTATTCCCGGGGGAGTCGCCTCTGCTAATGCTATAAACATTACCATCACAATCCCCAAACCCACAACAATAATGTGGCCGCTTCCCATTGCTCTTCTCTAATTGTGTGACAATGAGTGATGAAATTTCCATTACTACATCCCCCATTTTATACTAGCCAACTCTCATTCATAATTGCATTATTTTATTACTAGCATCCTTTGAAAGTGGCCTTTCTTTTCCCAAATACAAGTTAGTAGCTAGAGTGGACTATTATTGTCTGTGTTATGTTGCTACTTCATCAAATATATGGTATCACTTGGCCATAAAGCTAGTACTTACAAAATTATACTAGTAACTATCTGTATGTGTACCTTTCCTTGAACATTGGAGTAGCTTCTTCAAACTAATTAATTAAAAGGAAAACTCAAAATGAAGAAATAAAGGTCTCTGCATGTCAGGAGAAATCATTTGATAAAAAAATGTCTACAAATCTTGTGAGGAAAGGAATTGGTAATGTGGGTTAGCTTGGATACATTTTCACTCAAAGAAACCCTATTAAATTATCTTGTGAATAAAGGGATTAATTCACATGCGCAAAGGTTTACAACTCTTTTCTTCTATGATAGGATGCATGCATGATTGATGATAGATACACTATTCAAACTTACTTACACCTATAAGGTATAATTGAAGATTGCTGTAATGTTCATTTCCCTAATAGTATTTTACGTCTTATGGAAAATAGAAAAATGAATCACATAAAGATTGAAATATATTTTCTTTTTGTGTTTGATATATAAATAAAAAATAGTATCCTTATATATTTGTATATAATTGAGACAAGAGGTAGGGGGTGGGCAATGGTGATATGGTGAAGATAAAATGGTGAGGACAGAATCAATATATTTTTATCAATATATTAAATTGGGCTCAATGGACCCAATTCAAATTATCTTGAGCCCAACCCTTATAATTTTGAACGGGTTACCTATGTTTGGTTTCATTTTTGACACCCCTACCGTCACCACCAAAAAGTTAAACTACAAACTCCATATCAAATCTATATTCTGTTGAGTATCTTCTATACATAGCTCTTACACCAAAAAAATAAAGATACAATACAATTTCATTTGACTTTATGAATGAAATTGGACCTATCTTCGAAATATCTGACATTTCTCTCCGTTCAAACTGACCACCATATACATGAGGAAACCAATCTCTTTTGTCTATTACTTCTCCTTCATCTAATACAATAGCTAAGAAGGTTTGTTGCCAACTATAGACAGTAATGTTGAGAAACAAATTTCACAACTGAGCAATGTATTTACAATGCAAAAAAAAAGTGCTTGTTTGTCTCTTTAGTCACCATAAACAGAAAACACCTAGAAACCAATTGCTTCTCTTCCACTGTAGCACTTCTTGAGTTAGGCAAATCCTTTTGATTGTCAATCAAGTGAAGCACTTAACTTTGGTAGGAATGCGTTTTTTCAAAAAATAACTCCACTAGCATTGAGTATTTGTATTAGTCACCTACTGTAGACACACTTTAGAGAAAATGTCACATTATCATTGTGTTTCCAAAGAGGTATATCAATCTCCATACTGCTAAAAGAAACTTTCCTCATTATTTTCAGGGCTACTTTCTCTATCTTCTAATCATTTAAACACTTCCTAGAAGAGATATCCCAGCCCTGTACGAACCAACACTCCTGGATTGTCCCCTCAGGGTTTACAAAAATAAGAAATACGTCAGGGAAAGCCTTCTTTAAAGGAGTTTGATCAATCCACCTATCTCTCCAAAATTTTGTAACCTCTTTTCATAAATTCAAAAGGAGTATTCATTGAACATTCATTATCACTATATCAAAATATAATTTTTTATTAAATATATTTAACTTTAAATATAATATATATATATATATATATATATATATAC